TGACATCAAGAGATCCTGACACATGTACTCTCCCTTTTCTCTCCCAATGCATTTAAATATGTTGCCCAATTCTATAACTTTGGTCAAATTATATATATATATATATATATATATATATTGATTAGCTATGGAATGAATGTTATCGTCTTCATGCTCTTCTTCTCTTCTTGTCTTTTGTCTCGACATCTACCTCATCTTTGATGCCTTTGGCTTCTTCGGCTTGTAGTTCCTCAGTTTCTTGTTCTAGTCATCACCGTTTGAGGGATTCTGAATCTATACTATATAAAGGTTGAATCAAGGAAAACCAACTATATACATTCCCTAATAGTGGTGATGATGATGAGAAGAAGAAGAATCGTTCTTCTTCGCTGAGTTGCTTGAAAAGCTAAAGCATCCTTATATCAATCTTATCGAATGTTCACAATTAACTCCATTTATATCTCATCAGTAGCTTTGATGGAATTTGTCAAACCAAGACAGAGGAAGAAGAACCAGTGGTGGCTAAAAAAGATAGGAGGTTTAAGGAAGGGATGGTTAAAGGATGTTCAATATAGCAATTGTTCTTAACAATCACTCGTTTCTCTTAAACCACTATAAGTTATCTGATCAGAGAGATTCCACAAGTTTTCTCAATAGCATTAAAGAAACGCCTCATGTTATTACTCTCATTCCAAACACCAACACAAGAAATACCATCACTCCAAGTAAACACACCACTTCCTTTAGGAATCCCATTCTCCCACAAACTTTCGTATATATTCCCACTAGGCATAATAATCAAACCTTTCCTGAAAATCACACAACTACGCCATTCTCCAAACGTACCAACCTTTACCATGTTGCAAATTCCTTCTCCAAGTTCCTTTGTAGAAATCTCCATTTTTCCATGACCATGTTTCCTATCTAAAGTTCCTCTGTAAGTATCTCCATCAGCTCCAGTAAAGTCCCAAATCTTTCCGTTTGCTCAAATTTGAATTCACTTTCGTAAGTAGCTCCGCTAAGCCATTCCTGAAGCTTTGCCTCGTTTCCAATCACCTTTGTCACATTCACCCATAGTTCTACCGAGATACGTGCCGGATCCGTATAGAAACCCGGCGGAGAAGCTTCTGATGTAGAGATCTCTGTTGGGAAGCGGCTTCTCAACATCAACTTAAGGCGTGTGAGTCATGCGTGTAGTCGTTCCTTGAGATCTAGATATCTCGATCTCACCATTAGAGTAGAAGTCTGAGAAAGAGTAGACGACTGAGAAACAACACCAAACCGTCTCGTCTCACAACTTCGTAGCTGCTTAAAATCACCAACATCGAACAGAACTACGAATCTGAATCTGATTGGTATTGGGCTTGATGAATCTCTGATAAAATCACTTGATTGAAGCTTCTAGCGATTGATTCAGCAATTAACTGAAAGATCTGAGATCTGAAATGAAGAGATTGGAAGATTAATCACAAGTTTCACCGTAGAAAGCTTTTAAAGAGTGAATTTGATTTTTTTCTTTTAAATAATGAATTTTTTTTATTTAAGTTACTGGATATTAACAAGGGTGATTTTGAATTCTACCATATTTTAAAGTTTTGCTTTGTAAACTACACTTACCCTATTTAAAATAAAATAAAAAATCAATATATAAAAAGACAGGTTTGTCCTGATTTAATTTAAATGCTTTAGTTATAAATTCAAAATCAATTCGAAAAATATATATTTATTTTTATTATTATAGTTTAAAAATAATAATAGTTTATTAAAAAAGATACTAAATCTTATAAGATAATAACTAAAAATTATCAAATCTATAGTTTTCGTTTAATATAAACTTATAGAAAGCCATAAATTCCAAAATTCTCTAACCGTATTCAACTATATTTCTTTAGAAAAAAATTTCAAGATAACGATTCGTTATTGTTAACTTTTTTTTTGTATTTTCTACGTCACTATGTTATGAATCAACGTAAGTTCATTGATTTTTTTTTACTCTTATTCTACAATATTTATACAAGATTTTACGTAGAGATTGATTTGTGAGTATGTTTGCTATTATGAAAAATTTTACGTAGAGATTGATAGATTATTAAGTGAAGATGTATGTATGTAAAAGTTATGATTATGATCCACTTTCACCTTGTTACGTAACTTTATTAAAAACTAGTTCATGTTAGAGGTTGCATAGTTTGGGAAATATAGATGTACGTAAAGTTGTTATGGTTATGACGTAGAAACACGCATATCGTGGTTTAAAATTTAACGTGAGTTTGTATATGTATATGTTTATTGACTATAATTACATACAATAATTGATTGTTCAAATATAATATATTTTTTGTTTATGCCTTATTGATCAGAGATGAAGAACTCAAGAACCGATGGAGTACGTGATAGAAAACGTAAAGCTGAAGAAAACAAAAATCATGACTCGAAGAAGACAAAGATGGTATCATGTATCAAAGTATTGACGAAAGAATACTTCGATTCATGTATCATAAAACTTAATTCTGATATATCCCAAATGCAAACAAGGTAAAAATATTTATGTTTGTTATTAACTTTTAATTTTATGAATATAGTTTGATAAAGTTATTTTTCTTACAAGAAAGGAAAAGGAGTTCAAGACTACTTGTAATAAAGTAGAATCTGATTCTTCAGTCAGAGTTTTAAGTGTAACTCCAGCAAAAGAGAATAAGCGTACCTTGAAAAACAAGGACATTGATACAAAAATTAAAAGTTTTGGTTTGTTATTGGATACCGGTAAAGGAATGGGAAGAAACAAGAATGTTTTGAAGTCATGTCAATATGATCCATTTGTTTTAGCAGATGAAAATATTGTTAATTGGTTGGATTCATAGTTAAAGATTGATATGTATATTTCGATAAAATTTTCTATGTTCTTTAAAGAATTAATAGTAATTTGAAAACATGCAATAATTGATTACAGAAATGTAACGGTTAATTTGGGCAGCATAAAGGCAGACAAACAGTTTTTTTGGAGCTTATATATGAAACCACAATTTTGGTTAAGCGAAGATGTAAGTAAACTGTAGTTAGTATTAATAATGAAAATATTTTTTCAATAACTAACTTATATATATTTTTTTGTGACAGCACATTGACGTCGGCATGTCATTGCTGAGAAGAAAATTAGGAAAGGTCTCATGCCCGTTTCATAGTAAACGATTGGCGTTTCTAGATGTTCCATTTACTGTGATGATAACTAAGAGCTATCAAAACTTTATGGAAGACCCTACAACCTTTGATTGGAGCTCTCGATTCATCGATTATTATAACGGTGTTTTGCCAAGATGTGAAAGGACAAACAAGAGAATGGGAGTTGATGTCGATGAAGTATTTGTGGTGTTGAACATTAACCGTGTTCATTGGGTTGCTTTGGCTATATCGATTCTTCACCGACGCATTGATGTGTACGACATTATTCTTTGAGTCACTGGTGATGAAGAGATTGCAGAGCTTGTGAAGCCATATGCACTTATGATACCATATCTTAGCAAAACGCAAGTTTCTCCTGCTGAAAGAGATGAGTTAAATGATGCTAGTTACACTATTAGAAGGTCTAAAGAAATACCACAAAACAAAATATCGGGTGATTGTGGAGTTTATGCTTTGAAATATATAGAGTGTCTTGCGTTGGAGGTAGATATGAAGATTGGACTATGTGATGCAAACATCAAAGATATTCGAAAAAAGCTGGTGGCAGATATGTTCATGGAAGCAAACCATTACGAAGATCTCTAGTTGATTATTTTGGTTATAAGATTTTAGGCGTACTCTAGTTTTCTTTTTTTATTTAGTGATTCTCTTTTGTTTTGAATTTGGTTTCAGCTTCGTTTTCTTCTTTTTTGCACTTGGTTTGAGCTTTATTTTATATCACTGTTTTTTCTTATTATGTGACTATTTGCTTCCTAAAGGGTATTGGGGAACTACTGATTTAACTTATGTGAGTCCGAGTTTCTCAAACGGTTTGAGTCAAACTCAAGTTTTTGTGTTCTTCTTCACGGTTAGCTAAAATCTCTGTTTTATTCGTTAGGGAGACTACATGTATATACTGTGAGAGATTTTATCCTGAAATTCATATAGTATGAACTCTGCTCAAAGGTGAGATTAAGGCAAAAACTTCTCCTGAGTGAAATATGGATGACATAGAGCGAGAAAGATGTTGTGTGAGTTCATTATGTTTTCTGGACCGCAGTCTACTTAGGATTCTTGTTTGATTTCTTTGTGTAATAACAGTTTCTGTTTTAGTAACCAATTTCAAGCATGTCTTGGTGATATGTTGAATAAAAGGATTTACTTTTTTCCTCCAATCTTAGAGGATAAAACTTTCCCTTATGCATACAGTACAATTGGTTCATATGTGTATCTATTGTTACTTTTTGAGCCATGCAGCATAGCTTTTGAGATCTTGCAGGTACTTAATTGATATTAGTTGTCTTCTTCGTCTTACTTGTTTTTTTCTTTTTATAGACATGTTCAAAAAAAATATAGAGCTAATCGGAATTTTTTGTAGGCGCTATTAATTCATGGGTTTCAGCTGCTAGATATGTGGATTAACCACTTATCAGTCAAGAATTCAGACTGCCAAAGATCTAAGTTTCTCGATTCCATGACAGCAGGTAGTTTGGTGTTATGTTATGTTTTCTATTAGAGTCCGGGAATGCATTCATGTGGACATTTTTGGTTTACTGGAACTCCATTCTTAAGGTAAACTCTTATTTTTGAATACGTTCATTGTTGGATTGGAAGGATCTCCTCATTAGGGATACTACATGTAGAGGAACCTATGCATCATCTAATAGCTTGTAAATGTAATAAAGACCAACAACTCATAGCTTGGTCTTGAAGCATGGATCTAACAACTTAAGATAATGAAGAGAGAACCACAACATTCATGTGGCTTAACTTGTTGTCTACACCTGTTTTGTCTCGACATGTTGCATATTTTAAGTGATCATTTCATATGGTTTGTAACCATGTTACGTTACGTTACAAAACGTTTGGAACATATAATTGAAATTAATAATCAAATTTGTTGATGAGCTAAATCCCAGAAAAGATTCAACAAAATCCCAGTACAAGTAAATCGGAAAAAATCATATGATTCAATGACCAAAAAAAAAAATTAGCAAATGAAACATCATAAGCCAACGCATCAAAAACCAAAGTCACATGTGGCACGATTATGTCCTGAATGATGACATCTTGATCAAGTATGTTGTCTTCGAGCCTTTTCCTCATCCTTTGTTCTTCAAAACCTTTATATCTTCTTTTTTTAGGTCTTCTTGTTTTTTTTTGGACCTCTTGTGGAAGACAAATCTGACCAACAATATTAGAAGATATCTCACTCAAATCCGAAAGATCATATATAGGCTTTATACTCTCTTAATATGCAGCGTACATGTGAGACTTCATATAGTAATGATGTACTAATAACCCATGATCTATGCCTTGACTCGATGCAGCCTTAGCAGCATGCTTGCAAGGGATCTTCTCAACATCAAAGACACGACATGTGCAAGTCATCCGTTGTAGATCAACAACAAAAAATTTTGACCCATCGGTTACTTGGAACTCTTGCAGATTTATAGGCTGCACATCAAAACTTAATGACTGATCACACCGTTTATTGAGCTCTTTCTCAACTCTAGGTGTAAGAGATGAACTAAGTTTTGCAGCACTTTCTCGACGATAAAAAAAACCACCATGTAAGTGTATTTCTTATTGCCTCAATCAATGATAGAATGGGTAGTTCACGGGGTGCCTTGAACACATTATTTAATGACTCTGCTGAATTACTTGTAGTAATGTCATATTTATCTCCTGAAAAATAAGTACGTGACCACAATAGCATATTTGCTTCAGCCAAATAGTCACTTAGCTTCTGATTCTTACGCCGTATCTCAGCAAAAATCCCATTGAATTCTTCTGGCATATAAGCTTTTGATGCTGTCCTAACCAGTCGAACAATCTTTTTTCCTCCAGATTTAGAAATAACATTCTTTTTTAGATGATAAGTGCAAATTCCTCGATGAGCCATTGGATACACCTTTCCAATGGCTTTAGCAATGGATAATTGTCTGTCAGATATCATTACTAATCTCTGATCATCTGGCACCACATATCTCAACTTGGTGAAAAACCAAGCCATGATGCATCATTTTCAGAATCCACTATTCCAAACGCAAGAGCATAAATATTAGAGTCTCCATCTTGAGCCGTTGCAACTAGCAAAACACCACCATACTTTCCTTTCAAGAAGGTCCCATCAACTTCTACAATTGTTCTCATAAAATCATAACCTTTGGCGCAAGCAGCAAACAATAAGAATAAGTACTTAAACCTCCGATGATTATCAACCTCAAGACATGCTATTGTGCCTGGATTAGCTTTTTTAATCTTGTAAAGGTATACTGGGAGTCGAGCATAACTACTCTCTGCAGAACCATTACCTCAATACAAGCATCTTCTCTTGATTTCCATGTCTTCCAGTATTTTGAATTAATACCATATCGTTTCTTCAGACCTGTCAAGATCAACTTTGGTTTCATACTTAGACCGCCATTTCCAAAGTTTTCCAAAAGAAGCTTACTCATTATCTTTGAATACGCTTTTGGTGGACCAATTTCTCTACTGAGACATGTATGCTTGTCAATATACTTTGTTATCCAAAAGTACTCACTTGATGTGTTCTTCTTTGTAGCTCGAACCTTCCACTTGTAGTTTTTATCAACACATTTGATAACCAACAATTTTTTGTCCGACTTGTAAACAATAATTCTGAATTTGCGTTCACTTGCAAGTATCCGTATTTTCCAAGCCAGGTTTGCTTTACTCTTGAACCATTGCCCCTTTTTAATGACATTCCCATCATGAAAGTTAGAAAACTCAACTTTAGTGTCATCAACAGTATCTTGTCTACCAACATTATTAGATGACTTTCTAATCATGTTCTCATCTCCTTCTCTAGAAACCATAGAAATCTCACAAAAATTTAAACCATGATCTTGATGCTGTATGTTTAAATTCTTAGATGAGATGCAAAGACGAACATGCATCGATCTGCATAATTAAAATAAACTTTCCAGTTGCCAGTTATTATTCACCAAGACAGGAGAAGTATCTTTCAGCATGTTTTTCAGCATTGGTTCAGGCAACACATAGCTAAGATCTACCTTATCAATCAACCTATCTATACCGAAATCATCGTGAACCATATGAATCATATCATCAAACTTCAAATCATCCTTAATGGTGAATAATTTACCTCATTTATTTTTATTCACCATGAATTTCCATGATATCTTCTTCACCAACCATTCTCCAAAAACACTAGCTATATGCAGCATTTTCCTATAAAAAAAGAAACAAGCATATCACCATTAACAATATATAATGATAATCATAAATACAAGACACTCCCAAATTAGAAGCAGTAAAAGATTTTTCAAAAGCCAACAACGATTAGCTATTGAATCAAAAACTAGAAAATATTCTATTCCTAGATTTCAGCTCAAATTGAGACCCAGGACAATCTAGAGAACACAAACATGATCCATCTTCTAACGGGACGCTTGTAACAAAGATTGAAAAAAAAATTGGAAACTTTGAATCACATAAGATAGGGTAACTGATTGATCGATGTAAAACAAAGCAACAAGTAAACATCTCAAATTCAGAATTTCATAAACACATAAAGGAAGTGAGGAAATGCAATTGAGGGAATGCAATAAACTCACAGTTGATAGATGAGATCCTAATGTTTGGAATCAGAAAACCGGAGAGTACAAAACCCAGTTCCTTAGCATAAAAAAAAAAATCTGATTGTGAAAGTTCCCCGCCGGAGGAAGAAGAAGGTGAAGCTGAATGGAAATGAAAATTACACCAAGACTAACTAATAAGCCCATAAAATTACACCAAGTCTAACTAATAAGCCCATTGCAGATTAAAAGACATACTTTTACGATCAAGTCACACCAAATCTAACTAATAAGCCCATTAAAATCGTAACACATCAGCAAGTAATATTAATTAAACTACGAAAGGATACAATTGAAGTGTACAATGGCCCAATGGCTGTTATTGTCTTAAAATCATACAAGCCACATGTTCGAATATGGTTGCCTGTTTTTTGGATTTGTTCAAATATTTCCCCTTTGTTCGAATTTGTAGAATATTTTCAGATCTGAAAATATGACATATCTAGAATTCTAGATTATTTTTGGAAAAAAATAAATAAAAAATAATAATTGTGCTTTTGTTTAATTCTAATTTTTTTAATTCCATTATATTTCAATAAGGCTATTTCAGTAATTTTATATATATGGAAATTAATTTAAAAATGAGAAAAAAACAGAGGTTATTTTTCAAAGGAAAATTTGAAAAGAAGACAGATTTCCAAATTTTCACTATTAACAAATGCTAGATTTGGAATACTTGAGCGTGTGTGCTACTTTTGGAAGAAAAATCTAGAATAGTGTTGTCCTAGGGTATTTCTCATAAAATTACAATATTCTTAAGCTTTTTAATGATGGTAAAAATAATTTGAAACAAAACAGAACAAAAACGGTATCATACAGATAAGTGATAGTCCAAATTTGTTTGAGAGAAATTAGAAAATTGTGTTCTTAAGAAGTTTTATATCTTTTGTTAAATTAATGTATCTAAGAACCTTCAATCTTAAGATAATTTATATCTATTAATTTTTACTATACTTGCTAATTAAGTTACTAAAATTCGGATATAAATAAAAAACATTGTTTTAGAAACTAAAAATGAATAAGGTTGAAAAATACATGAGTGATAAATTAAAGCATATGGTAACATGTTACATGACAAGCATTTATAATAAAAATATATAAAATGTGTTTGTGTATAATATTTTCTAGAATTGCTAATATGGTTATAAGTAAAAAAGTACATCAAATATGGTAAAATGAAAAATATTTAACTTCTTACAAAAGAGAAAAATAAATAGAGTTGGAAATACATGAATGGCAAATAAATGCATATGTTGATTTAACATATTTTTAATTAAACGAGTTGATTTGACATATTCTATATCAATGTTGTTAAAAATAATAAAATAATAATTTAAACCGTATTAAAATATCAGAACAATAATATTTTATTTTTAATATATTATTTCAAACCCGTCGCATTAAACAATGTCTCTCAATATATATATATATATATATATATAATTTGTCAGTATTATTTTACACTTTTAATCTGTTTGAATATTCATAATTATGTTAACATAAGTCTAGATAAAAAAAAATACAAAAGGATCATTCGTTAGGAAAAATATAACCAAAACGATAATTCGTTAGGAAAAATATAACCAAAACTGTAAGTACCAAGACAAATATCACACAATGGCCACAATATATGAATGAATTTACCAAATTAAAATAGAGTATGATTCATTTGCAATTTTGTTAAATCACGATAACAATGTTCACACTTCACACACATGTTGTTAACCAACAAAAAAAAAAAAAAAAACAATATAGGGACTTGTGCCCACAACAATATATGGTTCCATACTTCCATGATTAAAACTTTAATTAACATGATTAAAGTAAATTAAAAAAAAAAAAAAAAAAAAAACCAGAAATAGAAAAAGCAAAACGCTAACACAGTAATCTCTCTATCACTTTACTTCACCATCTCACTTCTCTCTCTCTCTCTTATGATGACGATGGGCGGCGGCGACTCTGATCTCCGTAAACCTACTAATTTCTCCGCCGGACCTTTATCTCGGCGACGATCATGGTGTTGCTCTTTCGCCGTACCTCCGGCGAGTCCTGACGCCCTTTCAATCTCATCTCGTAACCACATTCAAGCTAAATCTCATTCTCAGCAGCAGAGACCCAAACTTGGTCCCAAGTCCGTTCCTTGCTCACCGCAAAGCTCTAAATCTCCTTTAAACATAGTGGGTCGAATCGACCCGCGTCGGATCTTATCACCGGGTCGGGTTTCTCCCATAGATTCGGATCTCACCATCGATACAATGCAAGAGACTGAGACCACTCATGAAGAAGAGGATCCGGTGGTTGTAGATTCATCTCCCAGTCTTCGTTCAGAGAGTTTTAGAGCTCCGAAGATTGAAGTTACTGTCTCGGGTCCGGGTTCGGATTCGGGTTCGGGTTCGGGTTACGATGCTAGGTTGAGTTTGAAGGGGAGAAATGGTGGGGTTTTGGTGTTGGAGCTAAGCTCAGAGGTTTTAGCTGCAAATTCAGAAGTTTTCGCGGGTTTGATTGTGGAAGACAAAAAGTGTTCATCTTTAGGGTTGAAGAAGAACACATGCAGGATTGAAGTTTGTGATGTGGAGAATCTTGGTGTGTTTAGGGATACTGTAGAACTTATGTTTGAGGGAAGTGATGGTATTATCAAGAAGTTTATGAAAATGGGTGTTTACAGAGCCATTGATGTACTTGAGGTTTGTGATATGAATCTTTGTTTCTTATTGTATTGAGATGTTTGATTTGATGGGTTTGTTGTTGTGTCAGTGTATTTGGTTTAGTCACTGTAGCTGATCTTAGTTAAAGACTCTGTTTTTTTCGCTTCTTAGGCTAAACACTTGAGCCTTAGATATGAATATGATAGGATGTATTAGAGTACATTGTTGACTAAGTATTTAGATTTTATTGCCTTGAGATATGGACTAGTACTTGGTTCATCGTTCTAGCTTCATTTGGTCATTTTAGTGAACTATTGTTGGGGACACTCTTGTGTTCTTGTAGAGGTCCAAAATATGTTTGTGCAAGTTACTCACTTCTAAGTATATCTATGAAGATAGCTTTTCACATTTAAATGTTAGTTTATATGGTTTTTGTTTCTCTTTGAGTATGAACATTGTTGCGTGGAACTTTGAAGATTACTCTGCTCTGTATGTTAGATTGATTCTTATTGTTTTCTATGAACATATAGTCGTGATTGGTGGTGCTAACAAAGCTTTTCTTAACCACAAATAGGTAGCGGCTGGAATCAAATTTTCAAGAGCTGTCTTGTCCTGTCTGAAATATCTTGAAGCTGTTCCTTGGACAGAGGACGAAGAGGAAAAACTGAGGAGGCTTCTTGCAATTCATAACTTTGATGATGCTGCAACCAGCGAAATTTTGGCAAGGTTTAATTCAAACGAGACAGAAAACTCGCAAGACAGTTTGTCGAAGAAACTTGTTTGGTCAATAACTTCCTGCAGTGATGTAAATCCTAGAAACGAACTCAGATCTTTGGTGAAGGGTCTTCTTTGCAAAAGTTCAGTGTATGAGAAAGAACAGCCTGAAATCAACAAGGAAGAAATATATAGAGCAGGCAAGTGTTGCGTGGATTCATTAGCTAAGCTGTTTGAAGAAGGCAGTAGAGGTAGTAGCAAGAAAGAGAAACCATTGATTGAAAGTATTTCGAGGGAAGTAGAGAACATAAACTGGCTGCTAGAGATCATGATAGATTGGGAAATAGCAGAGGAATTTGTGGAGATATGGGGGAAGCAAAGAAAGCTAGTGGAGATGCATGAGAATGTATCGCCAATGGTGAGGTATGAAGTAAGCAGAGTAACAGGAGCGATATTTATTGCAATGGGGAAAAGGAGAGTTCAATGCGGAGGAGAAGCAAGGGCGGGACTAGTAGAAGCGTGGTTCAAGCCAATGTTAGTAGATTTCGGGTGGCTACAAAGATGCAAGAAAGGACAAGACATGAGGGAAGTAGAGGAAGGGATGGGGCAAACACTGTTAACACTGCCAGTAAAGCAACAGTATCAAGTTTTCATGGAATGGTTCAGGTGGTTCTCAAAGCATGGGACTGAGTGTCCTAATCTAAGCAAGGCGTTTCAGATATGGTGGCGTAGATCATTCCTTAGAGGTGTAGAGTCTTCTTCTTGTAGGTAAACAAATAATTCCAAGTTCATGAGTCTGATGTTAGGTGTTAGCTTTATGGAATTTAGACTGTAATATATAACACTCCTAATGACTTATCATCTCCTTTGTCTCCTCCCACTTGCTATGTTTGTACTGGAGTTTTTTTTTGGAGCTAAAGCTAGTCGTAAGGTTAGAAAAACACAAAAATGGTGCTATGTTTCTCAAACTGAAAATACTAAAACAATGTTAGAAAATTCCTTTTGTTACATAAACTTCAACTGATAATAGAAAAATTGTACTTAAATCTATTGGTAAGTTTTCTCACGATTTATACATGTATTATGTATATGTTTTTGCTTAAGTTTACAAAACACAAGAAGCAAGAATTGAGGAAAAGAGTTTGTAAGAGTGCTATAAGAGTAATTGGGGAAAGGAGAATCAGAGAAATTATACGGAGTCTCATTTCTGTTTCTTACCACCGGCGAGGATACGTTGGATTTGGAGACCACGGCTAAAGGCTTGGTTGAAGAGAAGCCTGGTTTGGAACTCAGAGACGAAAGGAAACCACGCGAGTACGGTGACTGGCATGAAGATAACAACTCCCATAATGTACTCATACCCTCTAGCTAAGGCCTTAACGGATCCCCACATCCCTACTGCTTTCATTAGTTGCCTTCCGACTTGTGATATCTGTAGCAATGCCCATCCTGTCGGTAAGAACGCTAACAGAGACTGCATAATGTCTCCTACCGTTAGCTTCAAGAAGTGGAATAGCATCCCTACGATCACCACTGATCCGATGAACAAAAACAGCTTCAAAAGCCTGAACATTAGCTGGAAATCGGCGCTGAACTTCTTTCTCCCCATTGAGACTATCTTTAGGACAATCATCACTGCCACGATCACCAGCCAAGACAGTCCATACACAATGATGCTTTGTTGTTTTCCCATTCGGCTCTCCTTGGTTAGGTTCAAATGGTAAACGATACCGTACTGATAGATGAAAAACCGCAGCGAGAGGAATATTTCCCAGAACTTCCCGAAAAATCCAGAGTGAAGCAAGTGCTCTTGTTCTTCTTCCCACCATGATTCCCAGCTCTTGTTTGCTGGCACTCCGATGCCTCCTCTGCTGCTTATCCACTTGTTCCAATCATCCCAGTCATCAACAATCTTCTGCCACTCGAATCCTGAGGGATTGAAAAAGAACGGGGCGAACAACCAGGAACCCACCAGGAACCATGTTGAGCCCATGACAAGCGCATACGCCACTGAGTCCTCTGCTGCTTTCCCATACAGCCTATAACATATCAGCAGCACCATAAGCTCCATTCCTTTCACAAAGTGACTTCTCGAATACATTCTGTAGTTCTCTGCAAACTTCTCGTGCTTCACCACAAAACCACGCCCTGTTGCTCTGTACTTTGCTCCCCCATGTAGGATGGTCCGACCAAAGTAATGAACCTTTGTCCCAAGCGAGAAGGTGAAGAAGACAGGCGCTAACTGAAGCTGCATTATGATTAAATCCGACAAAGCAGTTCTGAATCCTCTTTCTAGCCCAATCTCCATCACCATTGGTAGTGTCATCAGCAGACCCAATTGCACTACGGACTGTGACGCCATTGCTGCCTTGAGGGAACTATCTCCTTTTGCCGCTGCAAACTTTACTATTGCCTCTTCCACTCCACTCAATGACAGATAAAGTCTTCCATACAAAAATGCATAAACTGTGAGGACAACAATCTGCAGTACACATAATTACTCTGTTATGTTTTGTTTTAAGCAAATTTGAGTTAATGATAAACTTAGTTTGACATTTGAAGATCATAAGTTACCATCGAGCTGATGTAGAATCCTACTGTAGTGAAGTAGCATGACATCATGCGGAAGAAATCGAAACGATGCCCAAGTCTGTAGAGATCCCTACTCAATGTTTGCTCCCCGTTGCCACAAGCAACCTTGGCTTCAAAGAGGGATATCTGGTTCAAACCAACATCTCTTCCTTTTCCTACTTGGATGTACTCATGATGAGTGACATTACCACGCCTCAAAGTTGAGTTGAAACCTAGATACATACATGAATCAATCATAAGTGAATGATGAAGGAACCAACACAATTATTTTATTTGAAGAAGTAAGGTTCATAAATCTAACCAGCAAAGATATCCTCGCTAAGATTTATGCCCCGTGATGCTTTGCTGATGCCACCCCGAGTGATGTGGAAGATTCTATCAAAGACATCAGGGTGACCATAGTGAAACCTTACCCTGAAATCAGAAATATAAGGTGTGTGTGTGAGTTAAATGATATGTAGAAGGGATTACATTTTTAACAGTTACTAAATTTTAAGTTAAAATAAGATTCATGTGTGTAGAATAAAGGAAAGAAGACCATGACATACTTCAGTGGACTTGCCAGGACTCGCTGACCAATGGTCACAAAGCTTGTTTCTTGGTTTGACATAAACCATGCCAAAGAAGAAACACTGCGAGCACCATGCCGAAGTGAAACACATATAAATCAGCTAGCAAAAATAAGGGAGTTCTATCCTCAACAAAAAATAATAATCAAGTTTCCCAAATACCTGCCAGTAAAAATATGTTCTCTGAAACCGAGAATAGTGGGTGCACGTACTCCATGGTCTTCATTGAACTCTTCCAGCAGATTCCTCATTTTAAGTGCTTCTTCCAAGTAATGGTCCTATTTATTAAGTATTTTGGTAAGTAAAAGTCTTCCAACAAAGATTTTTGTTGTTGTGGAAATTGCCGGTTGGGGGAATGTAGTTTACCTGATTCATGTCAATAGCCTGGAGAGCTTCTCCTCTTGTAAAAATGAGAGCATGATTCTGATTTTCGGGTTTTCCTTCTCCAATTTTTGCTGGACCAGGCAGTTTTATCCGATATATTTCCTTTGAAAAGTAACAAATACAAAGTTCAAATCTAGGGGTTCTCAAATATGACATATGGTATAGCCAATCTGATAAGATTTAGAATATTAGAAATACCTGATCAAGATTATCAACAGCCTTGATAAGCACCGAGTAGAACACTTTCTGCACTTTTCCGCCTTCTCGTTCCTCAACCTCATCAATGTATGCTACACGTAGGGCGGGATTGCTGCAGCGTTGAATATGAAAATAAGACTCACCAGGGAACTAACCAATGCTGGAATCTATTCAGGAACAAAGATGGAGGAGGGACTTACTTAACCATTAGGTTCAAGATATCAGTAGCTCTCCGGTCTCCACTTCGCTTCTGGTTTCCATAGTTCTGACAGGTAGCAACATAAGTAAATTTCAGATCTGCTACTGCCTCTAACTGAGCGTACAAGGATCTCTGACTTTTCTTGTCCTCCTCAGTTGGCTCTGAAATGGCTTTGTACCCTGCTAATATTTCTGTAAAACAAAAGATATGTTATAAGTACTTATTCGAGATTGTCGAGCATATGTTCGATATGAAACTATGAATACTTCACACAAATGATTAACACTGTCAATATTGTGGTTGTAGAATGTAAGAATGGCATAGTACAGTGAGTTGAAAACACTTGAACGTTTAATCTGTGCAGCTGATTTTAGTTAAACACAAGTCAAGTAATCAGGCCTCACCGGTTTCATTAGCCATGTCAAGAAAAGCCTGAAGCTTTAGTGCCCGCCTGTAATACATCATTCCTCTAACTGCAGGATACAAATTGGTGTAAGCAAAAAAAAAAAAACAATGAAACAAAATATAAGTAGGCGTGGATGGTATAAGTTACCTGTTCTAAACAAAGTCTGTCCCCTCAAAGAAACCCAATGGCGAAGCTGTAATATATTTTCTTCACTCTCCAAAACAGAAGTTTCATCTTTACAACCAAGCCGCTCCAAGAAGTTAGTCCACTCATCTGAAATGGGGGTTGGGGGATATAATTACAGAACGCATTGAGAAAAAAATTCAACAACAAGAGGTCATCAATAAGACATACCTGGAAAGATCTTCTGCAAGTAGTATACAACTGATACACCATCTTCATTCTCCATTTCCAGGTCATTTTTAGAGTACACGGTTTCCTCACTATAGTATGGAGTCAGAACACTGTAAACGCAAAAATAAAACTCTAAGCTTACTGATAAGGAAGATCTCTGCAGTAGGTATATATGCATAAAAGTTCCATAGTATCAGCTACACGGATTTTATATTGTACATTCATTCCAGCACAAAGGAAAACAAAATGTGAAAAAACTGGAAAAGATGGATTCCTAAACAGTAGAAAAATATGAATTGGAGAATATAGATAGCACATGGTGTCATTCACGAAGCATAAATTCTGTTGAAAATGGTGATAACCGGAGAACAGACCTGAAGGAGAGCATATTTCTGACACGAGGAGCTCGCGGCATATCCATAAACAGTGAGTTTGTGAAGAAGGCAATCCTTCTTTGCGCCTCAAGGTTTGTCGGAACATCCATTGCAGACTCTTTTACCGTCAAAAGTAAATGAAGGCGACTTATCTACAACAATGAATTAAATAATAATGTTGAAAATGTTTATAAAGATTATTCCTAACAGCCTTATATTTTAGTTTTTGATATTTTTACCTGTTCATCCCATTGAGCTGTTGCCACTGGAGGAAACAGAATAGCAGGTTTTGCGTCAGTTCCAGCAAAGAGTTGCCTTCCAGACTCCTTGTTAGTGTGCCCAAGTTCAACCAATTCACTGGAAAAAGGTGCCACCCATGTTTATTCTTCTTTGTATGTATACTATATACATGCATATTCACATAGAAACTAAGAAGAATTCTCTAGTTCTCTAACTATGAAAAATAGCACACTAACCGGTTTTCATTTTGCATCATATCTCGAGTCACTACTTCCAACATATCTTGCAACAACAGCACCACTGTGTCTCTTTTGGATGGGTCCGCATTTTTCTGCAGCATCATAAGTTAGACATAATTATTTTGTTTCCCAGATAAATTAGCTTCGCAAGTATTATCCTTTCCATCAAAACATGAATTCATACTGAAAGTGGCATAAAAAACTATCCACTACCACGGATAGTCTTAAATCAATACCAATAATTAAACAAGGATGTGATTCACTCACCAAGATTCCGACAAGCTCGACAAATTTACTACAAAGAGCAGGTAAAGGCGCCATTCTGAAATTCGTAAGGAAGGTATTCTTTGATATGTTG